TTTCTTGCAATCCTAAACCGCCTGAGATCATTTGTCAAAATGAACAGCCGGAAAGCGATATATCCAGGTGACAGATGAAGTCGAAAATTATTTTATTAATCCGAATTTGATTGTAGACCTAAGTGAAACTCTTTCCGCACGGGACCCTCACAGCTAATCTGTCGGATGGATTTTTAATTCAGCCTGTGTTTATTCTGTTTAAAAGGTTTTACTTATCGCCCAATCGGGAAACCATTTGACTACGAGTCAACAAACTTCCATTTGGCTGTGCTCAACTGTCAAACTACAAAAGCCAATTAATTTAGAAGAGATTGCACATGCATCTGTCGTCTAGTGTGCCTCTCGTGAACATTTACCCCTTTTTTTCTTCTTCTTACAAAAATTTCAATAATTTGTACTTAAAGTCCCTTTTGGAACTGAAGCATCGAGTAAGATGGAGAATAGTGAAATGGAAAGTAATTCTATAGAGGGAATCAAAGGATGAGAGGAAGAGAGAATAAAAAAGATAGTGAAAGGCAAGGATAGAGAGAGACAGAATATGAGAAGAAAGAGAGAGAGGCTGAGAAGGAGCGAGAAAGAGAGAGGAAATACCAGCAGTAACAACAAATAATAATAAAAATTAGATTTCTGCAAGAAAACTGCAGAAAGTAGCTGGTGTTTTCCGTTTTATCAGTCGTTATGTGATGCAACGAAATCGCCAAGTCGACACTTGGTGTAACCTTGTTTTGCCAGGGACGGGTCAGCCCTCGGGATCCAATTGCGAATCCGTTATCGCGCCACGGCGTCATGCCGCAGTTTATATCGACTAAGCCGGCGACAGGCATTAAAATGGAACATAAACAGGAGATAATCCCGTTCAAAGGCGACCGCTACCAGGTGTTTTCTCCAGGACCGGGGTCATAAAGCGACTCAAATAACAAGTTACACTGACAGGCAAAAAATTCCAACCAATTGATTTTATTTTTTCATTTTCTGGATTAAAGAAAATATTTGCATACGCTATGTTTTAATTGGGGAATATCAATTAGAGGTAAACACACTTAATCCTTAATCCAAAACACGGATAAAGGATTTTTAAATGTTTACTTGTTACTCAATTTAAAATGTTAATTCAGTCTTATTTTATTCTGAAGCAATAAATTGTTCAGTTTCGTCTTTGTTTCTTAATTTCAATTTTTAAACTTAAAAATGCCACTTAGTGCTGAGGAAGTTGCCCGTGTAGCATTTATTGATAATGGAAGTTCCATCAGGTATGCGGCTATTGCCATTGCAGTTCCCTACGAAACTCTGCGAGACGGTGTTTGACGTTCTCCAGAAACTGGGTCCTACCATAGAAGGCCGCGGTTCTGGACGCCCTAGGGTAATAAAATAGTAAAAGGGGATGACCGCTTTTTGACTTTGAGAATTTTGAGAAACTGGCGTTACTATTGTTCAAGCGATTCATCAGCTCCAGTAAGTTCGAGGTGCCCAAATTTCTGAACGCACTGCTCGAAGATTAAATCCGTATGGACTGATGGGCTTTTCGCCCTATAAGAGGACCAGAATTGACCAGAACACACAGAGTTTCACGGCATTTGCTCGAGAACAGCCATTGGAGATCGGTCTGCTGTACTTTTTGCCGATGAATGTAGATTTGTTCTACCATCTTCAAATGGGCGTGAAACAGTGTTGAGAAGTCGAAATGATAGGTTTTACTAAGCTTGTAATTTTTCCCAGAGCCAACCTTTTGAACGTAGTTCAGTGTGGTGTGGGCGGGAATTTCAATGGAGAGTCGCACAGAGTTGGTTGTTGTTCGTTGAGGGTCTTTTACGGCCACTCGCTATGCGGATGAAATTTTGGAACATCATGCGTTGCCTATCCTCGATCAAATCGACGACAATCCTATTCTATTGCACGATAATGCTCGTCCACATGTCCTCAGTACAAACCTACCTTCAACAGCATAACATCAGGTTCTTAGCCTGGCCAGCCCCTTCTCTAGACTTCAACCCCATCGAACATTTATGGAATAACTTCAAAAGACGAGAGCACGTCCATCACTTCCTGATACTCCACGATCTTGAAAGGAATCTTCGTAAAAAAATGGGCTAACCTCCAACGAAGACTACCAGACTGGTAGAAAGTATGCTGAGGCGTCTTCGACGTGTAATTAAGGCAAGAGGAGGGAGGAAATACGCGATATTGACATGTTAATTAAAAATCTAAAACAAATTTTATCTGTCCGTCATTTTTTTTTAAATTATTATTTTTCATGTTGCCTAGCAATTTACTTCTTTTACATTTGAGACAAAGACTCAATTATTAAACGTAAAAAACATGAAACTTTGATTAATATATAAAATGATCAAAAACAGTTGATCAAAAACGACCAAACTACTGGCGTATGAAATACGTAAGCGTTCTGGCATTTCACTATTTTCAGTCAAAACACACCTGAACAATTAAGTTCTTACGAAAGGGCACGATTGATCAAATCCAACACCAGCGAGGTTAGGCGGGCCAGGTTGATCAAAAAGGCCCAACTACACCGAAAATTCAGTTGGACGATAGTATTACACTTACTTTATACTATTTTAATTTAACTTGTCGTAGTATTTCTTAAAGATAGACTGCTGGCATTTGGGAACTTGAAAAGCAAGTTGGACGAACGTATTTCCGAAATTGTGAGAAACACCTGTAGAATGGTGCTTCTCGATCATCCCGGTTCCCATATACTCGCTGTTTTGGTCTATCTGATATCCCTTCTTTGGTGCTTGCTCTATCGTATCAGTCAAACAACGTTATACGAAGTAGTGCGAGGCTATGTCTTTTGTATATGGATATTCTTCTTTATATATGAATCTGTTTACCATCATAGATGACCATACGATATATATACATACTGGCAGCAAATGAAAAAGACATTATCAGATTTTATAAAGTTAGTGGGCTCTATGATCCTTATCAGCATATCTTCGCTGATTTACCTCGAAACACTTGCTTAATTCCTTTAAGAACACGGACTGAAAGCCATTTCTGATCATTTTGGTTTTTCAACTTCAGTGGAGGGTCTGTGCGTTATTGTGTAATTCGAGTCTCTTTTATACGTTTTTTCAACATCGCAGATCTAAAAACTATCTTTTACCTCCGAAAATGCCTTTAGTAAATTTTAGAGGAAAAATTAAAATTTGTCAAAAAGAGACACGATTGACGAAAAAACAGACAAACTACAAAGCAAAACACGTCCTGCAGACTACAATACTACGAAGCTACAGGTTCATCTCCCTGCAGGCCTCGAGACGAAATCTCTCAACGTCATGAATGTTTTCTGATTGGTAAGGAGTCTTTACCAATCAGATTCTTTTCAGATTATATTTGTGAATTATTTCACGCTTATGCATGAGGAACACTATTGTAATTTTAAGATTTATGTATCAAAATAGTAAATCAACTCCGACAAAATAAGTTTAACGTCGTTTCAAAAGGGTCTTTTCCACGATTTCGTTCGGGCGGAGGGATAATTTATGTAGCCGAGCCGTGTCGGTTCATCCAGCTTCCTCTCCCAGGCCCATAAAACACCCGAAATCTCGAAATCCCTGTCACCTCAGCCGATGACTGTATTATTAGAAACTCCCCTGGCTATTTAACGGGCCACCGCCTCTTGGAATGTTACCAACACCGGGGGCTACATTAGCCCTGGATGGACTCAGTCGGAGGGCTGGGGGTTGTCGAAGGAAAAAATTATTAACGTTAAAGTAAATTTAGCTCCTGGTTAACAGCACTGAGAATTAGTATAGCGTGAATTGTCCAACGGCCTCCTTTAAATTATTCTGCATTGGTGCGGCTCGTTTTAGTGTTTTGTGTTTTATTTTTTAGTTGAGAGGTAATATTCTTGATATTTCGGAAGTTTTTAAAGGTCATTTTAATCTGTATTAAATCTCATAACAAAAACCGAATAAATATGTATTAATTCATAGAAATGGTATGTAAAAACACATCACTTTGTTAGAAATTCAATTTTCAAATTCTATATGTACAAATCAGTTTTTATGTACGTAATCTGATAATTTGATTCTTAATCTTGAATTATCCACCGATTTCTTGGTGTTGTATGTAAGTGAAAGTTATTTAAGCTGAAAAACATGCTATCAATGTTACAGCATTATCATGTAAAAAGATCGTATCTAAACTAGCCAGTGGAGGGAGCCAAAATCTCGAAAACCTGGAGAAAGGTGACAATCTGACATCTTGCCAGGACACAAAAGAATTTTGGGTAATGAAAAGACAGACAAGCTGGCCAGAAAAGGAATAGAAGATAATATAGGCCGTGGACCTAAACTTGAGATGCAAAAGCAAACACAGATTCCTCCATCTCAGAACGGATCCAAAAAAAGATAAAAAGAGAAGGGTCAAACTGTGGTAGTGCCAGACACAGCAAGCTTATGATAAAAGAACCCTCACTAAAACTGGTAAACTCATCGTTAAAGAGGGCTTGTCTCAGAGAAGTGATAGGACTATATACCATTAGTTGATAGTAAAACGAAAGTTCTACCCTCAAATGTAAGAGGACTATTGTCTACAGTATACAGTAGTCTGTATATACATTGGCACTGGGAAAACATCTGCACAACATGAGTATATTCAATGATGGCCCCATTTGAAGGTTATGCAATGAGGAGGATGAAACCACCACCCATACCATCTTCGAATGCTAAACAATTGTTCAATGGAGACATAACCTGAGATACAACGAAAGGATAAAAAAATTTATCAACAACAGTCAATAATCTAATACTTCTTAAGAGAAGGATCGAGTTGAACGTGCTGAACTAAGGCAGAAACAGTACAATATGTCAGAAGGCTTTCAGTACTTGGGGAGCATAAAACCCCATTTCCTCGTCTCCATATTCATCATTATCATCGTCATCATAGTTCAAGATGCACTGAATTATAAGCCAACTGTATTTTCTTACGGTTAACCCTAATATGTTATTATCCATCGGTTGAACTGTAGATCTTACCTCAATCGTAAAGTAGAAGCCCTGGACGCAGAACCAAGAGAAGCATGATAGCCCGGCCAGTATCCAGGACCTCCCGCCGGCCAGGATCTCGCCGAATTCGCACAAGTGGACCAGAAGGAATAAGAGGCTGAGGACGCACCGCAATGTGTGCCCGCTGAAAAGCCTCCTCGCATCATCTCTGTTGAAAAAAAAAGTATTCACAATTTTTGAAAATATAAAAAAATATTATTATAACTGGTTGAACAGTGCCATAGATTCGTAAGAAAGTCATTTCTCTCTTAATACTTTAAAAAGCTCTTGATTTTCTACCTTGTTTCTAGGTTTATTGCGAGTTTTTTCACAGTAAACTAATTAAACTCAAGATAATTATTTTAACATTTTGAACTTTATTAATAAGGTATTGAAGAATTAGAAAATATGAAAAGTAGTGGATTTAATTCATATTTTGTTACTTGTTAATGACCTATAGTTTCGTCGAAATGTGAAACTTAGCACGTTTTAACACGAAAGTCTTCCAGGCACGAATTCATTTTCATATAAATAGAACGCCTTCAATCCTGATTAACCCGCTTTACCCAACGACTATTAGTTCTTAATCAAATTCAAAATAATTTAAAATCCCCGGGTTTTATAGAAATCGGTCAGATTATAGTTTCGAAAGGAAAAATTAATTAAATCAGGAGTGATTTTCCTTGTGTCAACATCCCCGGCTCTCACTGATTACCTTACAATTAAGATATTCTCGAGATAGGAGAGTGGTGATTGTTTGAGGATCTAGCGTGTTAAAACTGGATTGATAGCTTACTAGATCGTTACCGCTCAATCATCAGCTTTCTCTTCAAAAATCCCGTCCATCTTCGAAGAGGCTAGGCTGCCGATTTCAGCTACAGTGTACATGGAACTTTTAAGTTCCAATAAGAATAAAACGAGGTCGAGAGGCAGAAGGACTAATGAAATTTCCTAGCCCACGCAGATTAGTACCATAATGAATGGAGCCGTTTTTAACCCTCTGAGAACTTGGCCTACCTCGATTTTAGAAATATTCCCATCAACGAGAAAGATTTAACGACAATTAATCAAAGTGTATTATCTTGCCTTTTATTTAACTCACAACTAATTTATTATGAGAGCTTTCAACGCGTACGTCTATATAAGATTTTATGCTTAATACGACAAAAATAAATTAATTAATTAATTGAGTAAAAATAAATAAAATACTAATATTTATCCTTAATACCGCAGTCAACAAATTTTAGCTCTCAATTGGGTAGAATCACTACCGCAATATTGTCACACAAACATTCCGAATAAATTACATTCCAAGGGAACAATTATCGGTTTTAATTAGGCTTCAACAAGGAAAAATTATATTTCTTTATAACACCCGATAAACAAATTTGTTTAACTTCAGTCTAGTTTACAATCAGTTTGATTGATTTGGGAATTTCGACCCGATTTGCTGACTTTTCTAGATGATAAAATCATGTAAAGAACAAAACAGCATGTTAATTCACTAGGGAATCTTTGATCAATTGTTTTTATGTTTTATTTTTATATTGTTGTTTTTATTTGTCGTTTGGACGTCTCTGATTATTCTTCTACGGCTACCCTTGATAGTCTGAATACAGCAGACGAGTATCTGTCTTTTCAGCAGTTGGGATAGGTGTTATTTGATCAATTGAGTCGCTTTTATGCCCTTTTACAACCGCTGAAGATTGCAAAGTGCGGAAACGCGTCTGACAGACCAAACCAGTGAAGTTAGACGGAACAGGAGGATCAAAAACGCATAAACTGTATAATTTAGTATATAAAGATCAAGAATTAATTAAGTCTCTAAAGAGAAAAGTACATTTTACAAGCATGAGGACCTTGTAACGCGACCGATAGGCACAGTCCCACCACTCAATGAGAGTGTGTACGACATACAATACTAAAGCAATGAAGCTAGGCGGACTAGGAAATGGGATACTGCCGTCCAATGTGTTTTATTGTAATGAACTTTGTTGGGTTTTGCGAAATTGTAACTGTACTTTGGCCGTTTTAGGTCATCTGGTCCGCCCAACCCAGCGAGGCTAAGCGAACCAAGAGGATAAAAAGAAACGGAAAAGAATGACAAGCGGCCTTTTATACAATATTTTTACATTTTATACAAATATTCTTCTGTATACGTATATGACTATACACGGCAGTAATCAGGCCCAAAATAACTAATCTGTTGAACCAAGACTCAACAGAAACTAGCTCCCAAGCATTAAGCAGCACACAAAGATTAGAAAGCCCATATGCCTATCATATGGGCAATGAGAACAAACCCTACAAGTACACTCGAAACTCTGTTAAACCTACCTCCAGTACCAGGAGAAAGTACGAAAAGCTCATTTAAGCTCCAAAAACAATCAAATAGGATAGTAACTAAACAATTCGGTCACCAACCATATTTAATAAAATCAGACGCCCATTCTTACAAATGAAGTTGGAATATATTATCCCGGAAACATTCTTTACAACATCCTATAAAGTCTCAACAGACTATAAAGGAGAGGAAGAACTCAGGAGAGCATCAGTTACAATGATATGTATACAGGTAAAAACAAACGATGGAACCGGATCCGGTGCTTTTTGTACAAGCCCAAAATAAGAGCAATCAGACTCATTCGGGAAGTACACTTCGATCTTTCAAACAGAAATTCATGCCATCAATGCTTTTGCCCTGGAAAATCTTAAAAGAGGTTACACTGGCAAAAATTCCTCATAAGGTCGGATAGCCAAGCAGCTATTAAATAATTAGCGTGTGAAAGAATCACATCAAAACTAGTCAGTGAATGCACCCAAAATCTTCGAAACCTTGGAGAAACACATCAACCTGATATCTTTGGTGCCAGGACACAAAGTCATTTTGGATAACGTAAAAGTAGCCACATTGGCCAGAGGAGGATCTGCAAATCGTTATATAGGACCTATTCTTGGGATAACTATAACAATACATAATCCTCCATCACAAAATAATGGGGGGCTAGACCCAGTAAATTATCCAAAAACAACCCTGTTATCAAGACTGATACACGCACTGCTGCAATTGGGGAGGCTCAGAAGCGTGATAGCACTACTAACTGGTCACTGGCATCTGGGAAAACATCTACATAACATAAGCATATTCAACGATGATCCCATTTGCAGATTAACTTATAATGTGAAGGAACGGTTCAATGGAAACATAACCTAGGATACAAAAAAAAAAATAATAATACTTCTGAAAATAAGGATTGAAACGAGTGCACTGAACTAGAGAACTAGGAAGATGCAATAAGCCAGAAGGCTGCAGTTCTTTGGGAGCATAAACCCGCTTCCTAGTATCCATCATCATCATTATAGGTATATAAATTAATTTACTTACGTGTGTAGCGGACTGATTATCTGATCTAGTTTACTTACGTATGCATAACGTGTCTGATAGACCAAACCAACCAGATAATATCTTGGGTGCCAGGACACAAAAGGCATTTTGGATAACGTAAAAGCAACCACATTGACCAGAGGGGGATTAACGAGGCTAGGCGGACCAGTATGATCGACAATGGAATAATTCGTACAACATACTTTATTATATGGGACCTGCGATATATAGTGTATGAAACCTGTAGTTAGGATGTATCAGGCCATCGTGGTTCACTCACTTGTCCTAACTGTTTGTTTCGACATTATCACTTTATTTGTTTAATCGTGTCCCTTTAGTAAACCAACCAAACTCGGCTGTTTGGATCAGAGGGGAATTGGGAATCTATTCTTTGTGTAATTCGCGCTCTATTGAAACTGTATCCCACTTCTTGGCGGAGTGCTCATCCCTGGGTGAGCTTCGGTTGTTGCATCACGGATGTTTCACTCACCTCAGGGTTGACCTGTTACGGTTTTTGAGTGGCTCAAATTCGCGGCCCTTAATTCATTACGCTAGGCATGCGTGAAACTACAGATATGAATTAATTAATGAGTTTAATTTTTGATTTCTATTGTATAACCTGTTTTTCTGTTCTCTTTCGCATTTTGGCAGTTGTTGTGTCTCCTTTTTTTTCTTTTTATTGCGTAGGCTATAACTTTTATTTCATTTTATTATGTATTTTTTCGTTTCTGATTGTTTAATCAACGACCTCTGGTAGACGGATTCAAGATCCATGGCCTTAAATGCTTCGAAATCTAAATTGTCTTTTTTCCTTTTTTTATGTTTAATAAAGCATTATTACTATTATTTAGTAAACCAATCACTGAAGGGGGCGAAATTCTGAGTGCTAAAATTCAGTCAATTTACTCCAAAATCCTCCGTATATACCTCACCGTCCCAGTTCGTTACTATGTATACATCCTAGCCAAACAGAGATTCAAATCCCACTTTTTCCTCATAACCGCAAAAAGTCGATACAGCCGCCTCTATAAAACCCTAGGCCTTCTTCCCATCAAGTTCAAAGTAAAAGCAAGTAAACTAAAGAAATTACTGTCCTACAGGAGGGCTTAAAGGGCTTAAAATCTAACTAACCTTTGGGTGTCACGGATGAGGGGTTAAATAATTTTACAATATTTCTTTCTAATGCTATTCTCAATTACAATACATGGGCGCTGCCGGGATTCGAACCCAGGAACACTAGCGTAGCAAGTACGAGTCGGATGCCCTAACCGCTCAGCCACCGCGATCTTTTGGTGGCAATTTCTATTGCACTTTGCACCTGTCGGAGTATGTCTATTTCATCAATTCTGATTTACTTTCATGTCGCTGCCTTATTGCTTTTTCCAGTGAGCATTTTCTAACGTTTGTAGACCTTAACTTCAACTTATTTCCTCAAAGATCGGCTATCTGTCTTTTCAGACAAACAAACGTTATCTTCTTGCAGGTATCAGGCCCATTTCGGTTACAAGGTCCCTGTAGAGATTGATCGCGTTGAAACCTTTTAAGGGTCTGTTTTTCCGACTGTTTACCCCACTTATAACTATGTTGATATTTTTCTTTTTTGGGTTATTTACAAATCAGACCTGTTTTGTAACCCTATCCATCCCCCCTAACCATGCCTATCTGTCTGGGGGTGGTCTTTACCCAAAAACCCATCGAAAACGCTAAGTTGTGGAAATGTTACGGAGCATTCAATTGTTTGATGGTTAATTTGCTTCTAGAGGACATTTACAGCATGTTAAAGGAATTGCAATGTTCAACAATTCGAGAATAGAAACAAAGACAAAATTTTAACAGAAAATAGCAAACGAAGCAATATTCACGTTAAATTAAATTCATAAACAAAAAATTCTCTTTTGAAATTGTTGTAAATTTTGTAGAGTGACGCTAGGCCGTAAATAATACTGGAATGAGAAGATAGAAAACGAAGTTTGTGGCTTAAAATACGATCAGATTTACTAGCTATTGGAAAGAAATTGCAAATAAAAAAGCAAACGTCTATAACAACATTATGAAGTAAGTTTAGGTCTGTGGCATTCGACATATATTCATTTCTGGGATTGAGCCAAACAGAACCAACATAGAAACCCCTCAATAATATCGGATTTAAAAACATTAAGCAATAAAATTAAAACACGTTTGATAAAAGTTTTTCAATTTGTAAAAAATAGTCAGCAATATTCGAAAACACCGAACCCCTGAACATTACGTAAATAGTCAAGTAGACAAACAAACAATAAATAGTGAGAACATTGAAATTACCTTGGTTTAGACCACCTGAGATAGACAGTGAGGAGGAGTGTCACGTAGGCCAGGACGCCCGAGGAGACGGAGGCGGACAGTTCGACGAAGCAACGCGGCCCCAACGCGGACGTCAGGTTCCCACAGAGGGACGTCATCGTCTCACATTTTTACCGAGGGTCCGAGCCGAACCGGAACCGGCCCCGGCTTCTTCAGTCCATCTTCCAATAATCCTGGAAACAAAGGCAAATGGATTATGTCAGTCGCTATTTCGATGTTGGAAGGACAATTAGATTTCAACTCATAGCGCATGCATGTTTTTCTTAATAAGAACACTTTGTAAATACATTATTTCCTATATAGGATCAATTTGGGCCATGGAGTACTAGATATTCCTTAAACACCAAAAAAGGACAAATTGTACAACTAATCTAATGGATGGGGTACTCAACATTCCGCGTAAATCCTTTCATGCTAATAAATAAACTCGATCTTGTGATCTGTACAGGGAGCACCCATATTTCTTCCAAAAACAAGGGACGATCGAGTAAACTTTCTCTGACCGTGTTGTGTCTATCACGTATGGCCAATTCTAACCCGAGTAAGAATGATCCCTCATCTGCTAGGCAGATCAATTTTCAAAAAAGGGTACTACACTGTAAACAAGTCTTCTGGATATTCCCTTACGCCATGTATAGTCTCCAATTTTTAACAATACATGGTTAAATTTATTTACTAGTAATCATACTGATTTGTTTCACCGAATTTTTTTAACACTGTAAGACGTCATTTTTGAACTTTTGGCTCGTAAGAAATTCAACAAGATATCTAATATCAACTCTTAATTCCAAGTCAAACCTCTGATCGTCTAAACTCCGAAAGGAACACATGGATATTTTTATTCCTCGCCTCACTTTTTTTAAGGCGGTTTCAGCATTTATTCTTCCTGTAACATAGCCTGACTTGTTTGACGTTAAGGACCAAGATATTAGATTGCTTGAGTTCAAAAAAACCCGCACGATCATTCGGTTTTAAAAAATATTTGGAATTGAGGAGTTTTTTTAACCTAAAATAGACAGTAGGTCGTGAAGATAGATTTTAATCATAAATCATCTAATTAGCTTAAGAGATAAGCAAATGAACTTTAATAGGCGAGAGCTGAGCCTGGGTAATTACCGGGGTATTAGTACCTTTTTTGACCAACACCCCTGGAGTATCCAGACGTTATGTTAAATGTATGTTAATCAGCCCGTGAGCCCACGCTGGGAGAAAGTTATAATTGTTTATCCCTTTGCGATGGATTTATTCGGTTGTAAATAACAAAAAAGGAGGCCTCCAAGAAATAAAACGAGGGATCCATCCGTGAAAGTATCGGAGGCCGATCCGCTTCCGCCTCTGGTTGGATTGTTTGCGAACGCAAGAGCCGGCAAAAGGCTTTTCCATCCGACTGATCGGAAGCAAAGTTACGATACATTTTATTAAATCGGCTGTAAAAACTAGAGGCATTCTTGTATTTTTTATGACAAATGTATTCGTCTTAACAATTTAAATGACACGGGGCGAGGTGCGATCTCATCTGCATAAGACTTTCGAAGAATGAAAAACGAACAATGAATACAATCAGACACAGAACGATTAACTAATGAGACGTGATTTGGGCTTTGAAACTAATAAACTGGCAGCAGCGTGCTGCTATAGTTATAGCAGTTGAGTTATAGTTAGTTGAGTTATTGAGTTATAGTTAAACTTTAGATTTACAAACGTATAAAAAGAGTCAACAAATAAAATACCTCACTGACCAATCAATGAAAAAACGCATCTCACAAACCAAACTAGCGAGGATAAGGGGATGGTCGGAGACAACCAAACTACAAGTATATCACCTAACGAAGTATTTGACGTTATCTTATCTTGCTGGCCCTAATAGAAAACCATCAAAACATCCAGGACAGCTTAAATATAAACATAATTCTAAGGTCTGTCAATGCTAGTGGAAAATCGTGGAAATTGAATCTTGAAAAAAGTAAAATTTGAATTCTTTGACATTATACGGGCACAAACTTTAAATGGGAGATTGGCACAAGGATTTATTTGAGATGGATCGAAGAGGATAAATTTTTGGGGGAAAACTGAACTTACAACACCCTCTTTTCTGAGGCCCATTCTGTCCAAGAATTTGTAAAAAAAGAGCACTGAAAAGGAAAAAAGGTGTCTAGGTATATTCACCAGTATACTACGAGCGATAAATGCAATAGATCTTGGCGTGCTAGTAACATCTGCTCTACCTGGGTAAATATAACAAAGAGAGGATGGCAGGACATGAAGGAATTAAACGAAATGGCTAAGAAGGATGAAAGAGGAGAGATCATTAGGGATACAGTGTGTCGAAAAGAGAGAGTGATGAAGTTAGATGTAGTGAGGAGAAAAAATGCGAGGGTGAGAAAGACAAAAAGCTTCAAAGCATAGATGAATAAATAGAGGGATTGAGAGAAAAAGTGGGAATAAAACAAAGGAAACAAGAAAAAGAAATTCAAAAGCCTTTGAATGTTGTGAGCGAGGATGTCAGACAGTGTAAAATTCTTTCTTCATTTTCTGTGTGTGTGTTCAATAATTAAACTTTAGTTTTCTACTTACGTCAACTCATAAAATATATATTTTATGACATTGCCAGGGATCGCGTTTTCTTAGGCAGTGGTTAAATTCCGACCGCTTGCTCATCCTATCTAAAATTACACTTGGCGATCCGGTGCACTTTTCATACAATAATAGCAACCAGGTGTCTTTTCTTGTCCGGTTGTATTTATTTACAAACGCCACAAGGGTGAACGCACTTAATCTCTCTATCCACCAACTGGATAAATTGGGATCAGGAAAGATAACCAACTTAAACACTTTGTCACACGGAACATCGTTTAGAGACCTTGTCAGACGTATCTCAGTGTTCAAAACGAAAAGAAAAGAGAAATTAGGCGTAATCCGCTGATCTGAATTATTATTAATATAATAAGTAATGTCTAGTTAATTTCGATAGATTGGAATTGTATGACCGTCCCGGAAAGACACAGAAGTAATTCTAAAGAAATGCGAATAAAAAAACTAGACTAGGCGGGCCCAAGTTGATTATTCGAACCCATACCTTCAAAAAATGAGACAATTCGATTACGCCAATTTGTGTAAGGCCGCTAAAAAAGTCTCATGCAAATGACAATCAACGTGTCTTCTGCGCTTCTGCGGCTAGAACGACGTGAATTACCATATTTTCATCCATATTCAAACAGCCCTGGACAAATATGGACACAGCTCTGCAAAACAATTGTAATAATTGCCATAAAAAGGCATTTTCTCTTGTAATCGAATCAGACGAATAGAAACGAACATCAGTTGAGCGTTTTTATTTCAGATTATATCCGGATCTTCATGATCGCTCTTGTCGACTGAATGCCACAAGGAGTGGCATGTGGTCAGGAGAGACGGATTTGAATTCTATGAGACAAAGGAGATTAGAGCTTTTTTTGTCCACACGCGACATTTCTTTACCCTCGACACATTAACCAGACAAATGTCCTTTCTAGATAGCAATTTGTATCAAAACGGATTTAAATTCTCAGAATGTGCCCCGATCAAAGACACATCTGGTGTGTTCGGCACGACTGTAATTTTATATACTCGAGGCAATTTTTGCAACTGCAAGCTGAAGTTATATGAACAATTTAATTTTTCTATATAAAACAATTTACCAGAAGGCATATTTAGGATTTTCTTAATTGGATATGGTCAATATGGAAAAAAGAATAAATTACATTTTTTTTTTAATTATTTGACATTCTCCTTTTATCATTTTTCCATCTCTGTCTCTCTCCCTCTCGCTCTCTCTCTCTCTCTCTCTCTCTCTCTCTCTCTCTCTCTCTCTCTCTCTCTCCCACACTCACTAGAAATCATTTATAAATACTTAAAAAATGGAGGATAAGAAATTTGGTAAAAGTACCCAGTGTACAATTACATTGAAAAAACAACCTTGCCATCCTCTCTACTTCAGCAACAAGAAGCTACTGACGTAGGACGATGCCGTTCATAGACAGCAGACTGTCGTGGAATCCCAACAGACGTAAGACACAACTTAACCGAAGACTTGGCGCATAGGAAGTCTTCCTACCTGGATTCTTGGTTGCTGATGTGGGTGTAGAGAGGGTTCGGGCACTAGGGTTAGAATGGATACGGAGAGGAACTGCAGGATTCCTCCAAGTCATCCAGACAAATGGTCAAAATTCCTTACTAAGTCTCTAACCTCACTATTAAAAACGAACTCAACATTCCTGTTGCCAGTACAGACCATTATCGTTTCCAAAAGTTCCACACAAACGTCTCGATCCATTCTAACCCTAGTGCCCGAACCCTCTCTACACCCACATCAGCAACCAAGAATCCACCACGTCGCCCTAAACGACCTCGAGACGTCCTCGACCCTTAATTCCTCATATTGAGTGCCAGCGTTGCTGGTTTATTTTAACATATGTCCGCCGGGTGCACTGAAGTGACTGGGAGAAAAACCATATACGCACATAATTGTAATATGTACTGGCTACAAAGCATCATTATGTCAGAGCAGTTTGGCTTCAGGCAGGACTAGCAGCCTACTAGTTTTTAATATATGGCAACATACTGGCATAATTTTGATAAGCAAAAGGCCTAGGTGGTACAGACACTAGGATGATGGAATATAACTTCCTTCCCTAAATTAAAAATAAAAAAATAGTACACTCCTACCTCTTTTCCTTTTGTCTTTCCCTCTGTCCAGAGAGATTTTCCTTTTGTTCATCCCTCACAGCACTTTACAATTGACCAGATCCACTGAATAAAAAAAATATACTCGGTTGTTTTCCTAGATGTGGCCCAAGCATCCGATAAAGTCTGGCATGAACGTCTCACAACGTCTCACACCATAAAATAAGAAACTATTCCAGTAAACTGCTCGATCTACCTTGCTGACTCGTACTTCGAATTAACAAAAAGCAGGTCTATTCGGATCTCAAACCGATTCATGCTGGAATGTCACAAGGAAGTGCATTAGGCCCCATCCTATATCTGCTCTTCAATAGCGATCTAGCAGTAAACATACCACGGCAAGTTCAATATGGTGGTTGATGAAAGGAATGCTCGATCGATCCGTATATTGAACAACTCCATTTCCCAAATTTAAAAATGGACGAAAAAATGGAGAATAAAGGTGAATAAAAGAAAAATCTGTACATGTGAACTTCACTAACCGGAAAATTCAATACAGACAAGTCTATCAATCATCAAATCATACAAAGATTTCAGAATATAGTAACCAGAGGAATAGTCAATGCACCCTGGTACATCAGAAATTAAGACCTCCCATGTGAGCTCAAAATGGAAACAGTAGAGGAAACTATATTGCCGCTTTATCCCACCATCTTAGACTTCAAACACCTAGCCAGACGTCTCAAACGCGTCACGTCACATGATGTATTGCGGGGTGCAGTGATTTGGTGAAAGTGTGATTTAAGAACGGACAAACTACATTATTTATATACATTTTATCGCCTATGATCGTCATTAGAAAAAGATTATTTATTAGCTATGTTAATAGCTATATTGTAATATTAATAATGTTTCTCAACCTATGAGGATTTGAAAAAAACTTAAGATTTCATTAATGGCATAACAGCTAAAGAGTTTTTAAAAGTCACTTGGTAAAGTTTATGCCCTCGGGTTTTCTCCTCAGGCCGGTAACATCTGTAACAAAGCAAACAGCCCAGTCAGTATTGTATATTGTACTCTCGAAAGTGTTGAGATTAAAAAAATTAGTTATTTTTCAAAGTGCCGTCGTTATTCTAATCTGCGGACGAGTTCAATGACGCCCGTTCATCTACGGCACATAAAATTTGCCAGGCCCCCCCGCTTTCCGGCGCCACATCCCGTCATTGTTTCGCGGGTCTCCCCCCGGGCAGAATCGCATGATCTGAATTAAGCGAGACTCTGCGATCCAATTTACCGGCTAAATGCGCTCAAAGAGATCGCCCAGAGACCAGGGGAGGACGCGGATCAAACATATTCTTGACATGAACTATAGATTTTTAACTGTTTCCATTTCACAATCCGCACATTGACATAGTCGTATCTTTTATTGATACAAAAATATTTATGAGAAATAAGTGTGTCGGACGAGGAAGAATGCACCGGTCCAAATGCAACAATTTTTGCCGCATCGACAACGAAAAATGAGCCTTTGCATTGCCATGGAGGACCCACGACTCTATCCCGGCTAATGCAGGACGTTTACACTCGTTAGCTTCATTCAAAAGCACAATAAATAATTCAAAACCATCATTATCGGCTAAAAACTAAATTTTAGACAAAAATAGCCAAATGTCAAATAACTTCTGGAAGAGGATGATGTTGAAGTCTTTAGTACTTCTTAGAAGTAACCAGTACCTATATATGTAGTTCACCTTGAATTCTCCTTGAAATTATTGTTGAAAACTGGGTCATCTACTGAGTCAGGCTAAACTCTTGTTGATGTTATTCAAAAGCGTATCGGCTTTGCACCATCTTCAGTGAGGAACTGTCTCTCGGTTTCTGATCATTCAGTCCAAGTCCAAGTTGATAAGATAGTCGCTTTGAATACTCGCGAGTGTAGGACCCTGTGACGGTTCAACCTGACATGTTCACCGACTCGCATACCAACACCCACCATCAACATCAAATGATTATTTAAAAAAAAAGCATATTTATTCAACATATCAAGTGGTTGTTAATGTTTCAACAAAAGAGAGCGTGTCATAATAAATCTGGATTCGTGTTCGGTCCGTCCTTGTGCCCAGGTATAAATCATCCAGTTCTCAACCGAGTGACAAACGGCTATTGCTTTAGTGTGGATTAGTGGGCTCCTGGACAGCCACTCGACCTAGAACGAGCTGGAATGCGAATAAATTCAACTCGGATCGTAGAAAAATCCCCTTTTTTCGACTGCCAAAACTGTTATTCCCTAGATATTTTTGAATATATAACTTCTGAGCAATTCTTCTTCGTTTGGGCTGTTACTTGCTTCGTTTCCATGTTGAAGTTTAGGTGGCATTTTGTTTTAAGTTGCTAAAAAATGGAATAACAGAAGAATTTTACTTATTTCTCCTCATTTTATTTGGTTGGACTTATACCGTACCTAACTGACAAACATGCACAAAAACAATGAAAACAGCATAACCCAAAATGAGGAAAGGTGGACCAGTCACCAGAATTACCGAAACGGACAGATTACAATATGGTTTATGTAATGTTTGTGCGTCGAATTTTGCCAAATTGTTTTTGTATCGTACGTAATAGGTTTTCTGAAAAGGAATGACAACATTGGGCTCTGTGCCTTATTGGGACCAGCGAGCTAATATTTCTGAGGGGAAACATGAAAATTTTAGATTTGCTTAGATTTTAGGTTTTATTTTTGAGGTTCCACAATTTACGAAATAACAGACAACACTCTACTGGCAGACCAAAGAAGAGAGGACAGACGGACCAGATTGGAACTGCTGGATCATCAACCCGTCCACACCCACACAATCTTACAGTTAGCTTTCATCTTAGATGAAACATGAAATTCTTTAGTGATTAATCTTGTTGGACACAATTTACGAAATAACAGACAAACCAACTACTGAAACCAAAACGCCTCTGATAATCAGAGGCAGGCAATCAATCTTCCTCTGGTAATCAGCAATTATAGTCCAGGGTTATTTAAAACGAACAAAATACAGTTTCATGACCATTATCAAAGAAAATTTTACAGCGGATTAACTGGCACCTTCATCGCACCTTTCCTTCATCCTGAATTTTCCTTGACGACTGTACATCTCGATCATTACCGGCTATGCTTAAGTATAAAGAAAGGATAAATTTCAGATAAAATTTGATTGGCTTTCTGATTCAGCCAATATTAAATTGTACAGTGAATTTGCGTGTTTTTTTCATATGTCAATTTTTGGTAGTTTGATCGTTTTCGATCGTTTAAGTTTTCTAATCGTTAATGCTTTGGTCTGACAGACTCGTTATGGCTTCAGTGGTTGGTTTGTCTGTTATTACATCGATTATACAATCACGATAGAACTAAAGGTTCATCACCTTACTTAAGTTATAAAACAAAACACAAACCTTCAAGTGAAAAAATGAGTCGCCTGACTGACCAGCTCGGATAAAAGGATACCGACCAAGCCACGAAACAACCCACAATAAAACACACGTTGCGAACAGTTATTTATTTTTTATATGGGATGTATTTTGAGTTGCATTTTCTGAGTATCGATTTTTTTTGTAGAAAAACATGTCCCGATCTATCCTTATAAAATTGGAAAAATTGAAAATCGAATAAATAATTGGATCTTTTTTCATGCCCAAGAATACATTTTCTTGATCGAGCAGAATAAATTGTATATTTTTATTCTTTTACTTTTTTCGGCAATGTGTGTTGATATGAAAAAAGGTTATAATAATACATAATTATCTGAGTAGCATGTTTTTACGAGAATTTTCTTGTCAGAATTATTGCTATTAATCCAGGAATTTTGTGCTTTGAAAATATCTTCCTGAAAATTCATTGTTTTATATGCTATATTTGATATGATATTATTTATATAATATTATTCGACTACATTTCCAAATATTTAACAACTCATAGGATTACTTTTTTTGCGTTTCGATCATTGTAGAATACTTAATTAAGAGGTAAAATCAAAACGCCTGCGAAGAATGAGAAAAGGCGGATCCAATACATTGTAACGATCCCGTTCAAACACATTATGGGAGCTTTTCAGGTGGAGCCGACCCTGAAATAGACTTAACTGTTAAGCCTCAATTTTGTGAAATTGTAAAAAAATCCCTCCCCCCTGTTGGGCCGATATCAGCTTTCCCAGCCCTTTTACGGTGATATTTGCTAATTCCCGTCTGCTCGCTGAACCGTTCAAGGCTCGACTTAAGGAGCATGGTCGGAATATTCGCTCCGGTAGAGCTTTTAAAGCTCAGAGACGGTGTAATTCGAGTCAGTGGCTCCTAACCTGCACCAAGCCGTAAATCTGGCAGGCCGAAGGGCCCCTCTTAAGGATTCAGCCCTTGGGCGAACTCCCATCACGGGAAACAGGGGCCCGGAACGCTTTTCAGGGCCGAGAGAACAAGGCACGTCAAGGGCCGGGACGGTAATGAATTCTCGACGTATTCCTTGAGAATTACCGTAGGTGTCCTCTGAGATTCGTCTTCATACCAGAAGGATCCCGTCTCCGTGAGAACAGCCCCAAGCCCACTGGGAGAATAAATAATAAAGCGCACTTTACAAAATCATCTCTTCGACGCCAAATATCATCTACAAATTAAGCTTTTATAACGAAATTGTAAATGAATTGCTTTATTTTGGTACATTGGTTCTCACAAGCAGAACAGTGTCTAATGGAATACTCCAGGCAAAACAATTCAGTCTTTTATTGGCCTGTAATTTGTAATTCACGATTAAATAAACGCTTTGAGCCTTTGAAGATTAGAAAAAAATTAATTGTGAGAATTCGATTGGTCTGGGGTGATGAACGTGTAGTTTGGTTGCGATACCGAACATTTTAGTCTACGTAGACTCGTACAATTGAAGAAATAACAGACAGACCAACTACTGAAGACACTACCGACAGAAGTAGGATAGACAGACCAGGGTGATCGAGATGAACAAACTACAGCACCATCGCGTCAGGAACGTCAAACAATATGTACACTGTACTTAGGTTTTAACTGTATATTTCTAAGTATTGTTAATTACAGTGGTTAAGGACCTTGTCTGACAGACCGAAACAGCAAAGCTGGGTAAACCAGGTAATAGGAAACGACTAATTCACTTTCATTACTATTAATTATTATTACTACCATTATTACATGAGCAATCTCAGTAGTATATCTCCAGGGGGAAATAGCCTTTTTTAGTGGTTGATCTTATATAGGGTCGAAATTGAGGAAATAACAGACAGAGCAAATTCTGAACGAACTCGAAACGCGTCTGACATACCGAAGCAGCCAGGACAGACGAACTAGGCTGAGAAACGAACACGGTTCATCACACCGCGGACTCACAAGCATAAAATCGTGACATTTACACTTGAGCCTGCAGGATGAGAACCTGTGGTATGGTTGTTTCCAACCGCTTTGGCCTATCGTGTTCTGTCATAGTTGTTAGTCTTAAAGGGACTCAATTTACAATATAACTGATAGATAAGCCACTGATGCGATAACGGGTCTAACAGACCAAGCAAAGGAGAAAAGAGACCAGGCTGATAGGATCCAAACAAACTCATCATCACTTCGGTGGCTCCACAAACAATCTTACAATGGCTTTTACCCCATTAATATATCTTAGCTGAAAGATGAAATTCTTCAGTGGTAGGTCTTATAGACACAAAAACCGTCTGACGATCGATGACGATTTGATAAGCAGTATGTACAGGCGGTTCAGAATGATCTAAAACAACCGAATTTCAGGTTAATATCTAGTTTATAAATATTAAGGCTTTAACATTTGTTGTATAGGGAGATTGCGTAAAATTAGTTTCTGTGTTCAAGTTTTTGTAGTTTGATCGTTTTCCTATCCTCAATCTTTTGGTCCGTCGTTATGGTTTCAGTTGTTGGTTCAACAGTTATTTCATCAATATTGCATTTTTTTAAATCATCCAAACCTCAAATTGGTCACCGTGTAGAAGACAGAAATATCATACATAGCT